AACTGTTGTTGGTGAAAATCCCAGCAGTTTCTGAAATATTCAAACCAACCCATTTGTGCCAACAACCATGCCACGGTGAAAGACACGGAGATTAGCTTTTTTCCCCATTCTGATGTTTAATGTGAACATTAACTGAAGCTCTTGACCTGTATTTGCGTAATTTTATACATTGTGCAGCTGCCATGTGAAACATGGAGAATTGCTTGAATGAACAGGTGTACAGGTGTTCCTATTAAAGTGGGCAGTAAGTGTATTTCCAAAATGCAACATTTTAGCAGCTATGATCAGTCAATATCCATGTTCTTTTTACATGTTGACAGAAGAGAGAAGATTTGAAGTTTCAGAATGGTGAGCCAGAGGAGAAAGAATAGTTTTGGTAATTGACCTACAGTATGTATTACTTCTGTGATATATTTTATATACTTTTTTATCTGAAAAATTCCCAGCAATTGTTCCCAGCATATCCATATTGCACTTCTTCATTATCTGTGAATTTTACAATCATACTGCTACTTTATGAACATCTCCAGCACTTTATACTACACTTTTGTATCAAGGTAATACTCTTTATTGTCACATAAATAGAAAATGCAATTTACTTTACAATGCACTTACTTGCATGTCTGCTTGCATGTCATTCCTCAGGGCTACACAAGACACAACAATGCAGATGTGTTAAATATTATATATATAGGTAGCTACTGCAGTGCAATGGTAAAAGGTTCTGTTGCTGTCTTCCACACCCTCTAGTTTTACTGTAATATCTACTGTCTCGTACTCTTATTCTTCTACATACATATTGTTGATCTGCACCTAAGCTAGTTAACATTTTTATATATATATATATATATATATATATATATATATATATATATATATATATAAAACAGAACTAATTGAAATACACAGATTTTCTTTTTCTTTATGTGTAAAAAATGAATTCTTTTATACATTAATGTGCTTTATCCTGGTCAAGGTCATGGTGGATCTGTATCTGGAACACATCAGACAGACATACACACACTTGTTCACACTTAGGGTCATTTTAAACCTACAGCCATTCCACCTACTTGCAAATGCTGGTTGAGGAAAAAAAAAAAAAAACATAAAGCAGTTGAATCATGAAATATGATGTGCCCTGGAAAAATGCCCAAAGCCACCAGGCACTATGGACCTAGGGATTCCCTTTATCAGGGCAGCATTTGTTCATTTGCATGTGTTCTGATCTCTACAAACAGCACAGAGAGGAAGCCATTTGGCACTTTTGTTTTTATACTCAAGTTGTGATCTAATTAAAAGCGTAACATATTCCAGCCCCTGTATTTTAACTTCATCTTCGTCTTTTGTTCTGAACTTAGCGAATTAACATGTAGATTTAAACATCCTTTTCCACTTGATGATGACACAGTAGCCAATTAGTTGCACAATATGTTCAATTAGGTTCTGTCCCAAACATTAGAACTGATAACTTCTTATCTCCCAAATTCACAAGACAGTGATAATTATTATATTTTAATATTCATACATTGTCTAAGTGGTTGATTGTGTGTGAGTTTTCCCGAAAAGCTCAGAAAATATTTATCTGCAACGTTGTCCCTGGGCTCCTTGACAGACTTATTAACTATTAGTTTCTGGAGTCTGGTAGATTTCATCAATAAACAGAGCCAAGAACCACCTGCTTTCACTGAAACAGGCAATTTGACTCAGCAAATGATCAATCCCAGACTTCTCCCCTGTAGTCGGTTGGTAAATAAGTGAGATTACCTTGTTTACTGGCCACTTACTGCTTCAAATAAAACTAAAAAATAACTTTTAAAGATCATTAGCTGGTTAACAGATGAGTATTATGGGTATTTTGTATATGACTTAAAAGTCCTTTCAGAAATCCTGTCAGGTTAGCTAATCCTAGCTAGCTGGCTAATACTAGTAGTGAATATTATAGATATTTTAGGAATAAGACTTAAAAGTCCTTTCAGAAATCCTGTGAGGTTACCTCATCTTGGCTAGGTGTCTAATAATACCAGTGAATATTATAAATATTTTAGGAATATGACTTAAAAATCCTTTCAGAAATCCTGTCAGGTTAGCTTATCTTATCAATAAATATTATGAACCTTTTATGAAAATTCTAAAAAAAATAAAAAAAAAACCCTTCTCAGAAACTCTGTCAGAGAGATCATCTGAGTTAGCTGGCTAATGTTAGCAGTGAATCTTATGAACATTTTATGAATATGACTAAAAACCATCTGAGAAATCAACGTCAGGTTAGCGCATGATAGCTCCAATAATGTAAATGACTTCTTTCGACTTCTTTAGAAATTGTTTCAACCTGAGGACTTCCATATATGGTCAAAAAGACATCATCATAAAGACATTCCCACTCTGAGGCACTCACATGTCCATGTATGGACCGAAAAACACACTCTCCGTGGCCTGTAACCTGCAGACAAACAATAATTGTGTGGTTTGTTCGCTGTGTTAACTCTGACTGCTCACGCTTCCTGATTCTGAGTATGATTTGCAGAAAAGCCTCATTAAAAAGGTCTTAACTGCCAGTAATTTGAAAATATTAGGAAGCTCAGGTCTGGATTAGTGTTTATAGCCATTGAGCTCTTTTTACACTGATGTGGACAGAGATATCCTGGACAAAGTCTGAGATTTGATTTTGTTAATATACCTGATTTGTACTGCTTGCTTTCTAGTGCTTGATCTCGGCACTTAGTCGTACCTGTGAGCAGCGAGTAATACGGCCCTTCTGTAAAGAGAATTCTAATCTAAACTATGGCTAAGTCATTACTGTGGTAATGCAATCTGCAAGTCAGCTCATAGATGGAGAAATACAGAAGCTAAATAGAGAGAAATAGAGATATGTAGAGAGAGAAAAAAAGATGGCATCCTGTCTTTGATTAGACATTTCATCCCACCTTGCCTTTAAAATGCATGAAAGGAGGAGAAAAATCAGGGTGCATTATGGTCTCTCTCTCTCTCTCTCTCTCTCTCTCTCTCTCGCACAGCTGGATTTTGCATTCAAGAGTAAGATTTGTATTCATTACCGCTGCTTTAAAAGCATCTCCTCGACATCACTGCCCACTTGCTTTACATGCTGGTGCTAAATCCCGTCCATCTTCTGCTCATCCGCTATCTGTTGCATCGATTTCCCGTTCAGCAGATGAACCTTTCGGCTCACGCTGTCCTGCTGCGTATATCATCTATAGATCTGATGGGTGGGGAGTGGCAGCTTAAGAGAGCATGCAGTGATTTCTGTTGGAAATAAAACTCTGCTTACACTTTACATTAAGCGTTCCTTCAACTAACCTGGTTTAATTAGTTAGTTGATGTTGTAGATACACTTCGGCATAAATACACCATAGGTAATGTTAACAAAGTAACAAAGTCAGTTAACCCATGTATGAAATTTTAGATTAGATTAGATTCAACTTTATTGTCATTGTTCAAAGTACATGTACTAAGCCAATGAAATGCAGTTAGCATCTAACCAGACGTGCATAAGTGGCATATTTACAATAAATTACAAATAAGGATATACAGCTATGAGGGTGATACGTACAGGGGAATGGATGACTTATGTACAGGAGGTGCAGTGGGTATTATAAACAGGGATAAACGTGATCTATATATGTATGTACAATCAGTGTACAGTGGTGAAGACATGTTAAGAATATGATAAGAATGTGAACAGGATATAATGAAAATGAATATATACAATGAATATATACATACATACATACATATTATATATATATATTATATGCACACACACAGTACAGTAGTGCAAAGACCGCATTATAATTTATGTAGTGCAAAGAAGCAAGGTGAATAAACAGTGAAGTAAGTAACAGAAAACAGATAACAGATGACATTTGTTTAAATGTTAACTAAATACACCTTTGACTAATGTTTGTTCAATGCACGACTAAAAATATGACATAAATTACCAAAATTTAAATCACCATTTAATGCTTTTTTTAATGAGCATGTTCCTAAATATTGATAACTTCCTGACTGCAGGTCTCCAGGTATAAATATTAAAAGTTGCTTTTCAGCCTCAGTTCTGAAATTGTAACATGACAGGCTATGTTTAGTTATTTTCTTTTTCAAATGAGATGCAAAAGATGAAGGAACGACAGATTATAGCTGTTATAAATCATTTTCTCACCCCTTTCTTCCATCTTGTTATTTTCAGGTCAAAATGTCTTGAACACTCTCTGTAATGTAATATAATATATTTTTTTTTCTTGTTCATTAGCAAAATTGTGTCAATCTGCATGGAAGAAGTTGACTTGAAAAAAAACTTTCAGTCTTTGTGATATTTTTGGAATGATTTACACTGCCCTCCAAAAGTTTGGAAACGCCTGAACAAAATAGGGTTTTTGGGCAATATCAGCATAAATCCTCTTTAGTTAGTGACCATTTTGCATTGATAATAAGGGACAACACTAGGCATCCGAGCAGTCAGTTTATTCAAACATTGACTTGATATATTACTCCAAGCCTCCTGGAGGATTGCCCAAAGATGA